GGTCTTTACTCAACCTGTCCAGAGAGCAGGCCTTGTTTAAGGACTGATGTACACCATAATTGCCAGCATGGGTAAGTGATAAAATTTGTTAATTGGACATTGTTTTCAGGCAATAACATCAGTAATACACAGATTTGATGCAAAATTAGCAAGTAAGTTATTGTAAGAGTGACACTGGATTGATCCTACATGAGCAAGAAATGTGAGATGTTCTCAGGTACGCCAGTTCTGGAGAACTATATATCCTAAACGTATCTGAATTAAGAATTTCCCTCTTCCCTCACAAGAAGTGCAGAGCAGGATCTGCTACAGAGCCCCTAGTGTAAAGGATGATGTGGAAAATCTGTCCTGTAGATCTCGGTAGCAGGTGTGTTTGAGCTTATGAAACCACCGTCTCTGGCTATATGGGGTCAACTGTCATGTTCTGTCAGGGACAACAGAGGGGTCCTAAAACTTGGAGAAGTGCATTGCCCTGAATACATAAATACATTTCAAACAAATGAACATACTTATCTTTAGTAGAGCATTATATAATAAATACTAATTAACCAAGAATGTAAGGTAAATATATTTACCTTTTATAGCAGAACAAATCACAAAGAGCTCACAGCAATTCTCTGAGTTAAAAACACTATTCAGGGCTGCAAAAAGACAGGCTGACGATGAAAAATCTTGTTCTGCCTTCTAACAGAAATTCAAAGTGATATCAAAATCTCCAGTGAAATTGAGAAGCTGGGGCTTGCTGTGGTATACCGGGGTTTGAAACTTCTTTTCCACTTAAGTCAGAGACATCTGCCACTGAGTTCAGTGGGAGTAAAACTGGAGGATCAGGCCAATACCCAGGTCTTTGGGTATTCCTGACTGCACGTTTAGGAGCCTGGGCTTTTGGTGTGGATTTGTTTTTTAAATGTAAGAATTGTCTCACTCCCTTGGATAAACACGATTTGCAACTCACTTTATAGATGTGCTAGAGCTTTTACAGCCTTTACAATCTGTCATATAAATCCATATTCAAGTGTCAATGTGTGAAGGGGCTGCTTTAGAGGTCCTCTGGGTGAAAACATGAATGGCATTTCTAGAGGAAATGCTCTCAAAGATGAATAATTTGTCTACTTAGCCAGTTACTTTAGAAATAAGATGTTGATGATAAGAGTCACTAGACTGAATTCAACAGGTTTTTCTTCTTCTTTCTCCCTGTTACTCACAACCATCAGAGTTGGGAGTTTTGCTGGGAGAACTTGCTGAAAATGAACTACAGAAATTGAGCATCAGACCCAGGTAAGAAAACATCAGCCTCCTTGTACCTCCAAAGCTTGTTGACTTTAATGGCAATTTTGGGAACAAACAGAAAGTAACCTCAAGTACCTATAGGGACAGGGATTAATAATATTATTTCTGAGATAATTTCTGTGACCACCATCATTACACTGTTGTTGATCACAATTGGTTTTATATGTTTCTCATCTTCCTTGCCTTTCATCCTTGGAAAGGTCACTTTCTTGTGTGGTGTTTCATTCAAAAAGCCAACTGGAAAGGTGTGCAAGAGTAGTGTGTAAGGTGAGTGTGAGTGGCCATCTTTAACCCTCTTCTCCTTTGTCACACTAGTTGTGCACTACTCAAGTTTTCTCCTTTTTAGATGAGAGCCCATAAAAATTTACTGGAAAGAGGGCGTCTCCCCTCTTTAATGCTTAATCTGGCACCCTTTACTTATGCAAATTTAATCAATGGACAAATGCTCTTCTCACACCTGCTGCACTAATACAAACAACATCAAAGACTTTGTCAAAGTTACTCTGAAACAACTCTGGGATCACTGAAATGCAAGATTTGGCCTCCGACTTCACATCACCAGACATTTACTCATGTCAGTAAAACTTCCAGAATCGGGTCCTTTCCCTGAACCAGAGCCAACCACGTAACTTGGGAACAGCCATGCAGAGCCAGCCAAGTAGGCTGAGTACAGTCAATCCTAACAAATTACAATAAGAAATGTATCACGCTGCCTGCTGTCAGGTGTAATTTATATCATACCAGAGGGGTGACTGGAGAGCAGGTATAGGCAGGAACTGGTCATACCTATACTTGCTCCTGCTGGGCCTGATCTTGCAAGCTGCTGAGAGCTCTTCCCTCTCACTGAAGTCAATGTGAGTTGAGTTTGTTCAGGACCTAACAGGACTGGGCCTCCTCAAAATACTATGGAAGGATAAACACAATTTGATTTTTTTTTTCTGTTTTCCATTAGCATGTGATGTCTCCGTGTATGCGTAACCTGATTGTATTTACGCACATGCTCAGAATCTGTATGTGTCCTTAAACATACATGCACAGCATATACTACAAGCTAAAAGCCTGCTTAGGATTTTGGAGCACAGAAAAAGAAATAGCAGTTGTAACCCAAATGAACAGGAAGTTTATTCCCACAGCTTTCAAATTTAGTGAGCACAAGCTGTGTTTTACGTGACCGGAGCTAAGATTCAGCAAAGCATTTCAGCTTATGCTTACATCTTTTGCTGAAATACAACGTACAAATTTGTTTGATTTCTTAGATTTGAAGCTTTTAAGCTCATGCTAAAACCAAGAGTTTAATATGCTGTCCAAAATAATCCAGAAAGCTCTGCATGCGGTTGAGTATAGCCATATAGCCATGCCTCTATATGTGCCCATGCACGTTATCTCCGAGCATAAGCTAACAGTGCTCTGGCATTATTTCCAGCTGCCTCGCTCAGAAAAGCTACGTCTTTCCTCCTGCACCTGTAAGAGCCCTGGGATTCCTCTCCCAGCCAGACCACTGTGAAGACAGTCTGTGCCTTACGCATGATACACACTAGGACACTGAAGCACCATCAGGAGCTCCAGCCATCCCCACCGAAATAACTGGAAGTACTTTGCCTTAACTGGGAGCGAGAGCAGGCCAGACTCAATGGGGGTAACCAACCAAGTCTACTACACAGCACTGTAGAAAACAAAACAAAAATTAAAAAACATTAAAAAGGGAAAAAATAATAAATTGAAGTGTACCCTTCATCCAGCTTCATAATGTATGTAGCAATATGTCCTACCTGGGATGCTGGTGAAGAGTTATCTTTTGCTATAAAAATATACACGGTTACTATTTAACCTTTGTGACTTACAGGTCTCATCCTGTAAACTCCTATTCCAGCGAGAACTGAAGTATGAGCAGCTGAAAAAGCATTCAAGCCCTATGAGATAACACTGCAATATAAACGAAAGACAGTACACACCAAAACATACGGCAGCACATGAGCTCTAGTCAAACACAGTTTTGTACTTTGAGTTTAAACAAAATACAAAATCTTAAGAAATAAACTTTTGTTATTTATCAAACAGAAGAAAAACGTTTTAGATTCGTACTCTGTTATTTTTAAATTAATCTGTGAACTTATGTATATTCTCCCAAAGCTTCTGTAACTGAAGGTTTTATTCAGTAAGTTGATATGGGGCATTTTTAAAAAATAGTATCAGCAGCAATATTTTAAAACGTGGAAACAGATATGCTCCTCCATTTTTGCTGAACCTTCTCTGCATTTTTTTATACTATGAAGCGTTTGTCTGATTCTGTTATAAATCTCTCCCCACTGAACAGATTTCTTCTCTATGATTAAAGTAATACCACTTAGACATCATTAAACAGACACTCCAGAAAAATTATATTGTTTTGCCCTAACCATAAAATATAGGTATTTTAATAATTGTTTCTTTTACATAGAGAATTTCAGCAGCTCCCTCTCCTTGGAATGAAATCACAGCCATATGCTTTATGACATCAGAGGCATTTCAAGGTGTCTCCATAAATGTCATTTATTGCTTGGAAACCTGCCAAATCTGTGCAAAAATCCCTAGTTCTTTTAAATGAAAAATCTTCAAATGAAACTAGAGCCACTGGTTGCCATAACAAAAAAACTAAATCTATCCCTTTATGGAAATACTGGCCATGCAGGTACCAAAAACTCTGGCAAGGCAACCTGCTGATCTGGGCTCTGGTTTGCTGTTGAGACCATAGTGCCACCTTTCACCAGTCTGCTGGCCACCCGGACACTGCACACCCACACCACCTCTTGGTTACGTACTACCCTTCAGAAAAGTAAGTGGTCTGAATGACAAAAAGCTAAACTCTTTTAGTGTTCATAACTGTAAATCAAAATCAGGTATATTTTAACGTAGTGCTCCAATGAATATCCTTTAACCCTTAAAACAGTAGTCCCTTCCACGCTACTGTCACAGGCCTGATGCTGCCCAGGATCCCCCATCCTTCACAGTGCCCAGTGCCCTGCGGGACAGGAGCTGGGCAAATAAAGAGACTCTCTGCCACATACACAAATATACTCTCATGCCATATATATATCCATAATTTGACATATCTGTATCTACTCTGTGATAATACTGGCCAGATCTAAATAAATCTTGTCAGACACGTCACCAGCCTGTCCAGCACAAACCAGCTACCTTTAACCATGCGAAGATTCAATCCCATCTGCAGCTGCAAGCACACAGAGTAGGCTGGCCGGCCACTGCCCAAAGGAAATGATTGCTGCCACTGGGGCACAGAGCTATCACCGAGTTCAGGATTTTGGCTAGCCAAGAGAACCATCCATTAGTACCAGTGTAACAGAGCTGTTCTGTTTTCTTAAAGGAAGAAAAAAAATGTATTTTTTCCCTTAAATCTGAAGGAAAGAAGTTGCTTGGTACAGTTGGAAATAACCTAGGGCAGCACACCAACAGGTGCTTCAAATGTATCGGCAGAACGCAGCAGACGTTGAGAAAGAAAATGAATAGGCTCTCTACATAATACATAAATTTTACAGGCTTTTTTTTCTGTAGAACCTCAGTGAAGTTACTGTATAAATCGAAAACGGGATTATTCATAACTGGTGAATATATAATAAATCATATTTTGCACTGAAATGTTCCTCACAGGTACATGTGTCTTTCCATGCAACGAACAGAAAAGGGCAGCGAGCCTGACAACGCCAAGGTCTTACCTGGAGTCTGGATACTTCGTCAAGGTAGCCAGGCTGCTGGTGTACATGTGTCCTCCTACATCGATGTGCACAGGAGCATTTGACTTGGTGAGTTGAGCTGGGAGAGGAATTCCTTGAGCAGCCAGCGGAGAAACTGGGGACCGTGTTAGAGACAGACGGGACATGCTTCTTCCCTCCTGCAAAGGGAAGGCAAAAAAGAACAGTTTCTCTTAAATGTAGCAGTGCCTTACCCTTCTTTCCAGTGTGATCACAGATCTAATCAGATCATTTTTGCATCTGCCTGATCACATATTCAGCTAACAAATTATTGCCACCACTGTAATTAAGTGTATTTGCATCATTTTCTTCAAAGTACCAGAGGGGAAGAGAAAGATGCTTATTAGCAATAAGAAATCAAGAAAAAAATTCTTCAAGGTGTCAGCCTCAAGGGGCATAAAACAAACTGCAAAATTCTAATTAAAGGTCGCGGGCTTATGTGTTAGATGTGAAATATCCCCTGACAAACGAATAACCAATTTGTGAATTGGGATTCAGGGGTTTTGCAAGTTTGTCTCAGTAACGAGACACCTCTAAATTAGTGACTTCCTCAGTACCTCAGGCATTTAGTTTATACATGTAGTAAATTTCACATCAAACTAAGATCAATTTTCGGGTTTATTTTCAATAATTGTGAAATAAATGGATAATTTTCAGTTAAGCCTTAATATTAGACATGAAGAACAAATAAGCTTTCAAACTGAAGGCGATTAATACCTGGAAGCAGTGAAAGCTGGAAGATATATAAGCTGACCCATGCATTCATAACAAGATGCATTAGAAATTACTGTACAATCTGACATGTGAAATTACAAATTCAACAATCCACCTAATGTTTACTGCCCTAAAATTATTTGAAAATTAGTGGAATTTATTAATTGATCCCGAAACTCTTCAGCTGACATACAAAGCAAAAATACCGAAATGTCTTAAAAATGAACAGGACAACCACAGCAAAAGAAAATTCCTCAATTCTCTTCTGTAAGAAAACCCCAGCTTATTCTGCATGAAACGTGTGTCTCAAAGCTGATTTCAGTTAAATCGGTATAGATGGCATAAATGTCAAACAGAAAAAAACCCTTTTATAAAAGTTTAAGAAAATGTCCATCCATTCTCCCCACTACGGGTAAAGCAACACATGCAAAACATTACAGTTGAAGACATTTCTGAATTTAATCTAATTTTCTTGGTATTTTGTTCTGCAAGCATGCTACCAAGCATCCAGGCTCTTCCTTACATCTGACGAGCACCTTACATGCAGCATTGCGAAGTGAATTCCCATCTCTCCCACATTACTTTGACAATGTTTCTTAGAAATCTAAAGCTGGTCTCGCTGTTCTCGTAGCAGTATTTTGCAGAAGATGCCTGGCTGTGCCCCTCGGTGAACATACAATTAGCAACATTCTTTGTAAAAAAAACCCTCTAACTCAGCTATATAGAAAGGGATTGAAAAAATCTCAATACATCTGGACAGCTTCACAAAGTCATCACAACATTTCCATTTACTGTATTGCATCTCGATTAGCTCCTAAGAATTTCCTGCATCTACAGCACAGAAATACATCACCCCATTATGAATCCACATCCTTTTCTCTTCGGAGGCTGGACAGACATCTGCACTGAACACGAAGCAAATACCAACTCTGTCCTAGGACTTCTGTGTCAGCCGATGCGAAATTGGGCATTAACATTTCTACTACAGCACCACCTTCAAGGAAAGTGATTGAATCCTTTCATGACTGAAGACGTTGCTTTCTTGTTTCCCACAAGAGCCTGTTGTGGGCAATCTTCAGTAAATATGTCATACAGCATAAATCAAAGAACTAACTTTTAAAAACAACTTAGCAGGTAAGTACCTACGTATTTTAGCGATGTGTTTACTAATCTGTGGGTGCCTTGTCCGTCTGCCAACACAGACAAAGGTGGGTTTTTTTCTTACCAAAGAGCACTGTAAACTCATGTTCCCTCTCTACTCCTTCACTTAAATGAAAGGGTCAGAAGATCCAGCCTGAATGTCAACCCTGTCTTTGTTCAGATCCCAACCATTATCGCTAATGATAAAGGTACAGACCTCGCACGGTACAGAGCTGCCTTAGAAATAAATCTCGTGCAGTTTCACAAAACAAGTGCCTAATTAGGGCTCATCTGCACCTCTTGTTACAATTTCCAAATGAAATCAAAGGACTTCCAGTCCTCTGTAAACGCATCTTACATTTAACCATTTGTCTTGAAATACAGACTTCAGTTTTAAAATATGCACAGATAGCTAAAGATCAAGTGATCTGAATCTATTTGTGCATATTTAAACAGTGCTGCTATCTTAGGATTTTGTTTAATGTTAGTATACCAGTAAATTCCTTGATCTGTAAAGAGCCTGAGATTCTCAGTGAGGCCATACTCACACAGTAGATATTTAATTTATACTATTCACTGGAGGGACCTTTTGAACAATCCTCTGCTTTTGGCATCTCTCAGCTAGAGCATGTGTTGAAAAAACACTTAATTATAGAAAATCACTGGAAAGCTAAAATAGTTCTCAAACTTTTATGGCTCTTCATACTTACTGAGGATGCCACTGGCTTTTTGGGGGAGGGGAAGAGAAGGGGAATTAAAGCACAGGCTTTGCCCCTGGTTGGAGGGGATTCATATTGAAAAGAAAGATTCCTACATTTTTATTAAAGTTGGGGAATTCAATCATTTTCATATGAGCAAATTATCGAGGGGCATGGTTGTTAAGCATTACATGAAGGGCACTGAAAAGACTCCTATTGCTCCAAGAAAATAAATACCCCCTATTTCTTAAGGTACTGTAACCCTATTTTTAATGACTCCTTCCTCTTCTTAATGTAAAACACAGCTAAAATTAATCACACTGAGTAATGTACTTATTTTATGCACAAAGCAAAATCCTAAATGTATTTATCCAGTGAAAGTCTTTACGCACATATTTTCTAATACTGATGTGAAAATTAAAACCTTAAGGGTAAATATCACAGAAACACTAACAAACTTCATTTATTAAACCATGCAAAATAATCCTTGCTCTTGAGTTGCCTACAACAGGATACAGGATCCCAACTAGTGGCACAGGCAATAACCCTGCTCTAATAAGCAACACAGGAACCTGCTGAAGGCAAAATCAATAGAGTCTGATTCCCAAATTATCTGAATATTTAGTTTTTCAAACATTACACACCAAGCTCTTTCAGAGCCAGCTTATCTTTTTCTGCCTTTCTAAGCTAACTGCATAAGTACTGCTTGTAAAAACTATTTGCCCATGCAAAGTGAAATAATCACAATGCCATGCTCATTTACACACAAAATGATTTTGTGTCCCATTGTGCTCACAGTTGTTCAGCTCTCTAGGGGTGATTAAACTAGCTATGCTGCTACAGCTTGAGATGATTTCACTGAATCGTTTCTCCATGAAGTTGCTTCTTTGCTAAGCTGTTATTTTAACCATAAAAGGTAAACAGAAGGCAGTTGTAAGAGCTCCATTCAGCTCCGTGCCCAGGGCTATAACCCTAGGGCAGAGAATGCTGAAAGACTGCAGAATTTTCCAGGGTGTTGCCTTTCTTGCTCTAAAGCCTTCAGGAATACTGTTCATTTAATACACACTCTAGATGATACATTTCAGATCCTACCAAAAGAAAGACTTCAAAAGTGTAAGAACTTTTGGGCGGATGAAGCTTTCCCACCTCTGCACATAGCTCGGGGCCATGGTAACCAATACTGCTGTTGATGTTGGGAAAATACAGTAGAAATAAACTACATAGAGCAGAGCAGACAGATAGGGACAAGGGAGGTGAAAGGTTGCAGGGAAGAAACAGCCAGCAGTCTGGAAGGGATAACAAGAAAAAAGGGGAAAGAATGAAAAAGGAGGCGGCTCTGAAGGAGGGACAAAGTTAAATCAAGGAGCAGGCACTTAAAAGACTACAGATGGGAAGCAAGACTAATTAAGGATGTAAAAGCGCTTTGTTTCTAAAGTTTATTGTTGCCAGGATAAAAATTAATTGAAACTAATGCTGTTATTCACTCGTGCAGTTTAATTCCTTCATGCACATTTAAGACGTGAATGAAAACGGCAGGTTTTGTTTGAAGCCACCTGCCATGAAGCAGCTCACCCTCCCGGGGAGCCGGGGCGAGGGCAGGTCGGGACGCAGCCGGGCTGGGGGGGTGCAGGGGGGTGCTGCGGGACACA